TACAAGAGTTTACATGGTTTCAGCCCTTTCTATGGTGTGTGCTTGTCTTTTTCGTGTGAAATGAAAGAAACACTCTTTTCACAAGCTAAGCAGCTATGTAGTTTCTCCTTCGGTTTTTGGATGGTGTTGAAGATTTTCATTCACACTGAATCTCCTTCCACATTCTGAACATCCAAAGGATTCTCCCCTGTGTGGGTTCTTTGATACAGGATGACATTGCCACTTTGACTGAATGTCAAAGTCACCGTCAATGTCAGTGTCACAGAATGTCAGTGTCGTAGTCAGCCTTGGTTTTTACCATCCTGAGTAATTTTGTGTCATCTGCAAACTTGGCCACTGCACTACTCATCCCTAGTCCCAGATGATTTATGAATAAACTAAATTGTACTGGCCCCACTATTGTTCTTTGTGGGACCCCTCCATTGTGAGAACGGTCCATTTATTCCTACTCTTCGCTTCCTGTCATTCAACCAATTTTTAATCCATAAGAGAACCCGTCCTCTTATCTCATGACTGCTAAGTTTACTCAGGAGTCTTTGGTGAGGCACCTTGTCAAAAGTCTTCTGAAAGTCCATGTTTTTTTTAAAAAAAATGATTTCAAAATTTTGTTGCAGTGTACAACTTTTAACAAATAATGCATGATAACATATAACAAACTAACAGTTTGAACATACTCAAACAATAAACAATTGTTTTACGAGTTGTTGATGCTTATTAATAAAATGGAACCAATAATAAAATAGTCCCATAGCTTTATATACCATTGATGAACTGTAGGGGGATTTTTATCTTTCCACTTTATAGCGGTGATATTTTTTGCTGCCGTGATCATTGTCATTATTAGATCTTTTCTAATTTTAGGGATTTTCAAGGTTTCCCATAAATTAAGCAGAATTAGTTCTGGAGTTGCCAAAATTTTAATATCTGTTATTCAGGCGATTTCTATCATGATTTCCCCCCAGAAGATATTGATTGTTTTACATGTCTACCAATTATGTATAAATGATCCCATCTGTCGAAAGTCCACGTTTATAATGTCTACCGGGTCATCATCGTCTACATGCTTGTTCACTTTTTCAAAGAACTCCCAAAAAGTTGGTGAGGTTTTGCAGGAGCCATGCTGATTTTCTCTCAGCCAGCTTTGTCCCTCTATGTGCCTAACAATTCTGTATTTGATTACAGTTTCTACTAATTTGTTTGGGACAGACATTACACTGTAAAAAGGTAAAGGTTCCCTTGCTCAAAAGCCAGTCGAATCCGACTCTAGGGTTGCGGTGCTCATCTCCGTTTCAAAGCCGAAGAGCCAGCGCTGTCCGAAGACGTTTCCGTGGTCATGTGGCCGGCATGACTAAACACCAAGGTGCACGGAACGCTGTTACCTTCCCACTGAAGTGGTACCTATTTATCTACTTGCAATTTCTTGCTTTCGAACTGCTAGGTTGGCAGGAGCTGGAACTAGAGATGGGACCTCACTCCATCATGTGGCACACTCAGGTCTCGAACTGCTGAACTACTGACCTTCCACAGCCTGCAGTTCAGCGTCTTAACCACTTGAGCCACCGCAGCTCCTAAACAGACAGACATTACACTGAGTGGCCTGTAATTTCCCGGTTCTCCTCTGGATCCCTTTTTAAAAGCTGGTGTAACATTTGCTATTCTCCAGTCTTCTGGTATAATGGCTGAATTTAGTGATAGGTTACATATACAGGTTAATAGATCAACTATCTCACATCTAAGATCCTTAAAAACTGCTAGGTGTGTGCCATCAGGACCTGGAGGCTTATCGGTTTTTCATTTGATGTGAACCATTGCACGCAATCCAGTACAGAAGAATTGTGTCTGCACACAAAAGCTTATACCTTGAATAAAACTTTGTTGGTCTTAAAGGTGCCACTGGACTCAAACTTTGTCCTGCTGCTTCAGACCAGTACGGCTACCCATCTGAATCTACCTTTATTTATTTGTTATCCAAAGGCCCACCTGGATCTACCTTTATTTATTTGTTATCCAAAGGCCTTGCTGGTTCTCTGGCTGGTTTCCTGCTCAGGATATATTTTAAAATGTTTATTGTTTGACTTGATGCTTTTAGCAACCCGCTCCTCAAAATATCTTTTTGCATCCCTAATTATTGACTTACATATCTTTTGCCAGAGCCTGTGGTCCCTCCTGTTCAATTCATCGGGGCAGACCTTCCACTGTTTAAAAGATGCCCCTTTACTCTTTATAGCTTCCTTGACTTGCTTTGTTAAATACGCAGGCCTTCTCTTAGACTTGGCAGTGCCTTTCCTAATCTGTGGAATGCATTCTATTTGGGCTTCAATTAGTGTGGTTTTAAATAGCCTCCAAGCATCCTCTAGGGATTTGGCCCTCTTGTATTTCCATTTCAGCTTCCTTAAAAATAAGGAAGCAAGGTGCTTCTTGCTTTTGTATCTTTAAACATCTTCTCGTATTGAAGTTTGTTTTTGTTAAGTTTTGCTGCTGAATGTGAACCATATCCCAGTTCAGAAACTAAGCTGGGGGGAGGCAGGTAGGAGGAGGGAATGAACAAAGAAAATTCTTTATGTTTTCAGTTGGGTGGCTTTTATGTTTTGCGTCTACTTCTCAGAGGGCCAAGGGTACAACCTGCACCCACTGAAATGCCATCCAAGTTAATGAAGAGCTCTGGAGAACTCTCTCCCCCCAAAGAATTTTATTTTTTATAACAAACAAACAAACACAAATACAGAAAAGTTTGGAGGTACCTTATATACCTGAATTGTTTGTATTGAATATAATGCCAGAAAAGTGTAAAAAACAAGACTTTTATCTTATTATACATATATTGGCAACCGCAAGAATATTATATGCTAAATATTGGAGGGAAAATGAAGTGCCCTCTAAAGAAGAAATTATAAACAAAACACTTGAGACTGCAGAGATGGATAAACTAACTTTAATTTTGAGAGGACAAGATGAAGGAAGCTTCAAAAATACATGGTCAAGATTCTACAAATGGTTAGAAGATTACAATAAATAAAGCATATGGACATATAACCAAATTAGAAGATTAATACGAACTATATTTTTAATTATAATGCAAAAAAATTCTATAAAAATATACGGTGGAAAATATGAATTTACAAAGGAGACAGTGTACGAGGTAACAAAATAACTAAAATCAGGGCTATTTTGGGGCAGGAACGCACAGGAATGGAGTTCCGGCTGGCTCCCAAGTTGGCCACGCCCAGCAGGAACTCATTAGCATAATAGGCCACACCCAACAGCAGAAACTCATTAGGATTGGCTACGTTAGGGGTGTGTGGCCTAACATGCAAAGGAGTTCCTGCTACAAAAAGCCCTGGGTTTTGACAACAAACAAGGTAAACAATAACAAGCAAAAGGTGGGTGTGGCTGGATAACCACACTTCTGGTAACATGAGGGTGCGGGCTAATGTGCTAATGAGCTGTGCTGTCAGGGGTGTGGCCTAATGCTAATGAGTTCCTGCTGTTGGGTGTGGCCTATTATGCTAATGAGTTCCTGCTGGGCTTTTTCTACAAAAAGAGCCCTGACTAAAATAATGATGCAAATGGTAGCTCTGGAGACAGCTTGCACTCTGTGTGCTCTTGTTTTTAGTTGGTCTTTTATAAAGGTTATTATTCCATGGCTTCTGTCTCTCAATTACTAGTGATTTCTTAGGAAGCTCAGTGACTGCCATCTTCCAGGCTTTAAAATTTAAAACAGGGACTGTTTGCTGCACAACCGTTTAGCTGTTTCTTATGCATGTGTGCCAGTGGCTTCATTGTCCCTCCTCGCTTGCAGAAGGAGTGTTGTGAGTAATTCAACAACAAAAAAGAAGAGGGTTGTTTTTTGTGCTTTTTTGTTTTGGATGCAGTTTCTCAGACATGTCCTAAAAGCTGCAAGGGGAAACTGCATTGATCCCTGTCCTGATTGCTGGCACCCAGCAGGCACCCAGAGGCAGTTTCTAGGCATCAGAGTGTATAGAGCAATCCCAGGGCTAAGCATCAAAATACATTTCAGGGTTCAGGCACAGACAGGGTAGGCAACACAGCTTCAAGTCCAGAGGAAAATCCAAGAACAAAGATGCAGGCCAGGGTCGGAGACAAAGAAATCAGTCCAGAGCACAGGCAGCAAAGTCAACAGCTAACAGACAAATGACTTCCATGCAGCCACTCCCTTCTCTGCTGCTTCTAAGCCACCACCCAGCAGCCTGTACTGAGCCATGCACCTGCCGGCTGCCTCAGCCCTGCTCCTGCAAGCACTCCTCCTCTCTGTTGGTGCTGGGCCGGTGCTTGCTGCCAGGCGGGCACTGTGCCTTCTGCCTTGGAAGATCTCTCCTCATCTTCCTCCTACGGCGTTCCCGAGGCTCTGGTGATGGGATGTATGTGTGTGAACTGACTGGCAGCTGACTCTCTGTTGCCAGCTCAGGGCTGGGGTTCCTGGCCGAGGAGCTAGATCTGGCCCCTCAGAGACGGCCTCCTCCTCCTCCAGCGCCTCTGCCACTGGCTGTGGGCTGGGGCCAGGTCTGCCAGCTGCCTCTTCCTCAGAGGAGCCTTCAGCATCTCTTTGCTCTGTTGGGCTTGGCTGGTCCATGACAATCCTGGGGGGTTGATTCCAGCAGGGTTCAAGGGCACAGTTCCTAGGGCCCTCCCCCCAAAACTTCTGTTGCCAGCTTAGCCTTGTTTTAATTCTTTCTCCTCCCCCCCCCCCCCCCCCCACTACAGTATAAGGATGCAGCTACATCGGTTTGATCTCCAGGTTATTGCACAAATGACACTCATCAAAATCTGAACACATTTCATATGGTAAAATGAAGGCCTGATTCAGAGCGTTATGTTTCTGAAGGCATAGCAGACATACCTTTTCCGCGGGGTCTACCTGAATTCATTGCTTATCTAAATTATCTACAAACGTACTTGCAAGCAACAGTGGACTTGAGGGGCTTGAGTGTGTTTTCTTTCTGTTCTGGCTGTATTGAATGGATATTCTATGCTGTTTGCAGGCCTAGCAAGGTGGAGGACAATCATGCACTGTGCTCAGAATCAGCACCCCTCTTGACTTCACGCCACACTTCCGCAGCTTTCCAAAGATGAATGTGGAACAAACGGCATCTTGCTGTCATCGCCATGGAAGGTCGGCTGATTGGTAATGTGGAGAGCCTGTCCCAAGCACCTTCAGGATCTGGCCCACCGTCTTTCGTCACCTTGCTGAAAGTGCACAGAGAGCTGCTGGTCAGCAGAATCCGTAACACCCAGTGTTTGATTGACAACTTGATTAAGAATGAATATTTCTCAAATGAGGATGCAGAGATTGCTGCTCAGTATCCTACACAAGCAGACAAGGTATTAGGTTTCTCCTGTTTTTCTGTTATTTACACTCAGAGCCCGTCCATTCAAAGTGTGGCTGCTAATCCAAAGGGAGCTGCCCGTTCCCATCGATCAATTGCTCCTGCTGCTGCCTCTACTGAATGGCTCGAAGCACACCTGTTCCAGTCTGCTGGTGGTTCGTGTGCTGGAGGAGCATTTGTAATCAGAAAAGGCCATTAAAATCAGGAGGCAAGAAGAGACGCCTTCTTAAAAAAGGATATGACTCCGCACCTAAATTGTCCATGTGAATGTGTCAGATTAGATGTGCTCCAGTCTTTCTCAGGGTGCTTCAGCCCACCTTGGAAGAAAGGCCCATCTTTGGAAAGCAGATCAGAAGAGAACTCTGGAATATTCTTACATGACTTCACGGGGAAGCAGGTTCCTTGGGGAATGTGGGAATTTACGTATAGACTAGACGTTTCTGCAGAGACAAGGATTTCTGCTCACGGAGAGTGATTTTCCTTCCTCCCCTTCCCACAGAAGTCTGAATCCCCCTGTATCCTGTACTTGGAGGATAGAGACCCACAGGAACAAGACGTGGAGGGGAATTTCAGGCTACTGTGGAAGGGAGGAGGTGGGAAAATTTATGTATTTATTTTAAATTTATATTCCGACCTCCCCACAAGCGGGCTCAGGGCGGATCACAAACCGAATATCTGGAACATATAAAAAAAAATTCAATACATATTAAATATAAATGTTGTTCAGTCGCACAGTTGAGTCCGACTCTTTGCGACCCCATGGACTAGATCACACCAGGCCTTCCTGTTTCCCCCCATCCTCCGAAGTTTGCTCAACTTCATGTTCATTGCATCTATGACACTGTCTAACCATCTCATTCTTTGCCGTCCCCATCTTCTTTGACCTTCGATCTTTCCCAGCATCAGGGTCTTCTCCAGTGAGTGCTCCCTTCTCATTTGGTGGCCAAAGTATTTGAGCTTCAGTTTCATTATCCGGCCTTCCAGGGAACAGTCAGGGTTGATTTCTTTTAGGATTGACTGATTTGATCTTCTTGCAATCCAAGGGAGTATATAAATACAAAACAATTAATACAGTTTGAAAACAGCATAGATTAAAACAGAAGACACTCTTTATCCTTGTGCAGAGATTTCCAGCTGGCGCCATTGGTCTCTGGATCTTCTTAGCCTGGGCCATGTGGAGATGGTGGCTTCAGCAGGGGAGGCCGAGGGTTTACTGGACACCTGCCCCCCCCCCCCGGAGTGGAGGTCCTTGTGCACGCAGAAATGTTAGTATGGATCCAGTCCTCTGTGTGTGGCAGCGACTAAAAGAGAGGAGGCATTGGCCACTTGAATAATGCTACATAAACTTTGGCTGTACGTTGTCTCTGCTCACTGTTGTTTCTCAGGTGGTATTTATTTGGAGAGACAGAGAGAATGAGTGTTCATTGCACCATTTCAAGCTAATAATGATTTTCTTCATTTGTCAGTAACTCCATACACATCCTGGCTGCCTGGAACAGTAGATGCTTTCTGTCTTTTCAAAAGGGTTTGCGGGCCCTTCGATTTCCTGCCTCGAGAGTTTATTCTTTCAGGGACTGAAATGGGTGCCTCTTGGGCTGTTTCTCCAGTTAATAATTACTACTTCACAACTGTCTCTGACTGATTTGCTTGATGAACCAGTTATTCAGCATTTGAAGTGTCCGTACTCCTCTCTGTGGTCAGTCGAGATGTTTACGTGTCACGGTGCAGATCCCCCTGCTTCCCAGTGACTCTTATCGTTCTGTGGAAATGTATTTATATTGTTTGACAGCAGATCCGAGAACTTGAAAGAGAACAGTCCATTTCCCCATGAACATTACAGAAAGTGTGGATTTTTTGCTGGTGCGTTAAATTTATTGCTTTGCACACTGCCATATATTCAAGCCACCTTAAGGGCTGTGGCACACATTCAGGTTGGATACCTGTAAAACTGCATGGGTTGAAGTCAAACATTTTTGTACAGAACCATGCCTGCATCCACATGTCATTGGATATTATGTTCTCATTGCACTGTAGCAATCATTCATGACTGGACTGGCTTGTCCACGTTGGATAATAGAGTTGCAAATGATGGCTACAGCACAAAGAGAGTGCAATATGCAACAATGTGTGGATGGCCCATGGCAGATCCTTCTTATATGCTTAGAGGTGAAAGAAAGACTGCGGGGTCTTCAGATGCTGTGGTTTCGTGCTGCAGTCCTTAAATCATAGGGTTTGTAGTGTAGCTACAACCGCGTGCTAGATTGGAGCCTCAGTGGGTACAAAATGAAGATCTGTACGGTATGATATCTGTTGAAGTCATAACACATGAAGCAGCCTTTGGAGCCTGTTTTGGTCACAAATTATGTTCTGATTAGAGGAGCGAGCCAGACAGAGATTGTTTCATCCCATTGAACAATTACCTTGGTTAGCTAAATGCTAGAGAAACCCACAAGGCGGGTTGTTGATTTATTTATTGGTTCATAGCCCCAGCTTTCTCCCCAGTGGAACCCAAGGAGGATTGCATTGTTCTCCTCTTCTCCATTTTATCCTCACACAACCCTGTGAGGTAGGTTGGACTGAGAGAGTGTTTGACTGCCTCAAGGTCACTCAGCGAGTTTCCATGGCACCAGTGGGGACCAGTGTTCCCTCTAAGCTGAGCTAGTGTGAGCTAGCTCACAGTTTTTCAGCCTCCGGCTCACACATTTTTGCCTTCGCACAGGAAGGATGGCTCCAGAGCAAAGCTAATTTATGCAGCAGCCAAATCGCTCGCTCACAACTTTAATGCCAGTAGCTCACAAAGTTGAATTTTTGCTCACAAGACTCCACAGCTTAGAGGGAGCATTGGTGGGGACTCAAACTTGGGTCTTCCGGATCCAAGTCTGACACTCTTCACCACTACACCACACTGGCTGGGGTGTGTGTGTGTGAATTCTCTTGAAAGGTCAGTGTCCTTGCAGAAAACTCATGGGGTGTCATCGCTGTAGGGCAGTTCAGTATAGATGGTTGTACCTGTTTCCACCATGCTGCCTTCTCGCATGGGTGACATTTACTTCAAAAAACAAAACAAAACTATGTCTATGGATACCTGAGTATTGCGAAAGCAGGGCCAACTAGTAAGAGTCCCATGTTCCACTTCCTTAGGAAGTGTTCTGAGAGTCGTTTTTTTGTTGGATCAGCTCTTGTTCATTTCCAGTCCTGGTAAATCAGTTTATCCAACCACGTTTTGTAAAGTATGGCCTTAGGAGTGAGCTGTTTGCTGTCTGGCCTCATCACTCCCATCACTTCATTGGTTGATGTTTGTAGAACTAGGGGGAGCAGCTGCAATTAGCAATTAGAAAACAAAAATAAAGCAAACAAACCCCTCTCCCCCCCAGCAGGGCTTTTTCCTCTGTTACATTTGTATAGTTAACTAACTAGTTATTGGTTCTGAGTTGGCGTTACTGCAGTGGTAGCATTAAGGGGAAGATTGGCAGTGTTGTTCTGCTCCATCCATCAGCTGTACAAAGCCTGAGAGTGTTTTAGAGACTTAATGTATCCAGACTTTATATATACAGCAGCCTCAGTGCCTACCTATGTGGTCTTTAAATAGGTCCGTAAAATTTTGGATTTGGCCCAGAGCAAAGGAGAGGAAGTCTCGGAGTATTGCATCTATGTCCTGCAGCAAGTTGCCGATGCTTATTATGATCTTCGTCCATGGTTGGAAGAGATTGGGTTTCACCCTACAGAAGTCATTACTAAGAAACCTGTGGAAAATACCGACCCAGGTAGGAGGTCCTACTTCAAGAGTTTGTTCTCTCTTCAAGGTGTTGGTCAGCCCACAAGGACTCATGAAGTGCAGAGAGGAAATGATGGAGAAAATCCTCCCCAGCCATAATCTTCTCCTCCAGAATGTTGTAAATTAAGAGGCTTGAGGAGACCAACTTCCCCTTCTGCTTTCTTTCATTTGTTCCTTTAACTGATCCTTAACAGCTTTTAACATTCCAAGATGAATGAGCATAACTTACTTCCCATTAGGCCATTTGGAGTGGGGTAGGACTTCTTTTTAATTTACGAAGCAATTTTCCCCTGCACTTTTCTGGAGTTCCCCCATCCCCTAGTATGCAGAAACTTCTGTCTGATCTGCAGCTCTCTGTGTTTCGCTACCTTTCCGATAGGCACTCGGTAGGGTTTCCAGCCCTGGGCCTACCCATCCTGGGAGCTGTGGTGCTCAAGTCTGGATGATTGAAGGGGGGAGCTTGTCTGCCACAGGTGGGCAAATGATTGGTCGAGCACACACCCATGTTAGTGAGGACAAGTAAGAGATTTTAAAATTTCCCCTATATCCAGATTTTCTGGCCTGAAATAGCCTTGGGACCCACTGTTTGCAATATATAGGCAAATTTGTTTCCCAGTGAAGCAAACTGCAGTTCCCCAGGAATATTTCCTCTTCACATGCACTGTGTTCCTGATATGAATTATGTTCCTACACAACTGGCAATTGCGTTCCAAGCATAAAACTTGCAAGACACGTCTAATTGAAAGTCTTCATGGCTAGGAATGGGCACGAACCAACTCATAAACTAAAGTCTGTGATGAATTTTGGCCAGTTTGTGTTTCGCAAACTGAAGTTCACGACAGGTCAACCAGCAAGGACTTTCCATGAACTGCTTTTTATGGCAGTTTGTACTGGGTCGTGAATGGATACGTTTCCAGACAGACTATCTCCACTCAAACAAAATGTTTACCAAACTTCAAAGCAACAGGGGGGGGGCAGAATTCTGCAGCCTTGGAAACACTAGTAGGTTCCCTGTGCGTTTGATGTGTGTAGCTTGCACGTTTGAACCTGTGCCTGACATTTCCCCCAAAAGCACTTTCCTGAAGGCATCTTCTTTGGGGGGTCATAATTCAGACCCCCTAAATCCAATCTGCACATAACTTGGAGGGCATGAGGAGGAGCATCAGGGGGAAGTCCCCTGCGAGTCTGATGCCTCTAGGCTTTATAGGGTCTGTTCTATACACTCCTGAATCTGTGCTTGTGATTTCCCCAGAAAGCACTTTCCTTGGGGCACCTTCTCTGGAGGGCTGTAACTCAGAGCTCATAAATCCAATCCACACCAAACTTGGAAGGCAGGTAGAGGAGAGTCAGTGGATATCCCCTGCAACTTTCATGTCTCTAGCATACAGGGGGACCATGCTACTGCATTATGACCCTCACAAACCAAACCAGTTCATTTGGTGGCTAAAAGTTCATGATGATTTGTGGTGGCTAAAAGTTCATGATGGTTTGCTGCGAACCGGGCACACCGCAAACCATGAACCAAACTGAACCACATTTTTCTGGTTTCTGCCCATCCCTATTCATGGTAGACCTGAGGAGGAAGTGAGGAAAATGTAACATGTAGTTAGGTCCTGACTTTCTATTCTCATTTTTTTTAAGTCTCCCTGACTCTATAGAAAACCCTTCCTTGTCTGTGGGTGGCCTGGTTTTGCTGCTATTGTGTTGGGTAAGAAACATTTACTTTCCTGTTAGATATAGGAACAACGTGGAGGATCTATGAATAATCCAGGTGGGTGGGAGAAATGGATAATTTATTAGAACATTCCCCCTTTCAGGATACTATAAAATATTTGAGAAGTCCAGTGTCTCAGGTTGCCTCTGTTCCCTCCCCCATCACCTTTAATTGACTCTCTTCTGTTCTTAATATCTTAATGCGAGTGAGCACTCTCAGTCTTCATCAGGTGGTTTTCGGAGTGTATGTGTGTATGTATGGGTTTTTTTTCTCCCTCCTTTTTAAATTTACAATGGGATGCATTTGTGAATACTCAGGGAGTCTACTGAGTATGTAGAAACCCTGATCTTGGCTGTGGGTAGCCTCATAGCCCAAGATGAGATCACCACCAGCCTTCATAATTAAGCACTTGACTGTGAAATTTGCTATTAGAGACAATTATGATCCGTTATTGCCTTGGTGTTAGTGAAACATTCTTCAAAAGGAACGGATATTAATGGTAATCAATCGGATAGTGTCACGGGGCTCTCCTGTGGCATTATACCCCTTTTAACCTACTGTGGCTGCTGCATCAGCGGCAATATTTTCTTTGGAAGTGTAATTTTTCTATAGTTATCACTTCTCTGGTGACATACAGTGGGTCCCAGGGCCATCCAGGTTAGGTTACTGCAGTTACTGCAGTAAGCTCCTTGTCGAGGTGCCCTTGAAGACTGAAGTGCAGCAGAAAGACTGGGCAGGTTACAGGAATTTTGGAAAATGACGCTGGCTGTTAATTTGCTTTCAGGCACAGTTCAAAGTGTTGGTTGCTATCTGGTGGTGGAAAGTGCCATCAAGTCACAGCTGACTTATGACGACTCTGTAGGGTTTCCAAGGCAAGAGCCATTCAGGGGTGGTTTGCCGTGGCCTGCCTCTGTGTCATGACCCTGGTACTGTAGATCTCCCATCCAAATACTAGCCACGAATACATGAAACTGCCTTATACTGAATCAGATCATCAGTCCATCAAAGTTACTATTGTCTACTGAGACTGGCAGTAGCTCTTTAGGGTCTCAGCAGAGGGCCTTCACATCAACCACTGCCTGTTCCTCTTTAACTGCAGATGCTGGGGATTGAACTTCGGACCTTCTGCATGCCAAGCAGACATTCTACCACTGAGCCACAGCCCCTGCTTAGTTTCCAAGAGCTGATGTGATTGGGCTAGCCTGGGGCTATGCAGTTCAGGGCTGGTAGTTCTTTATAAAGCACTAAACATTCTGGGTCCATGGTGTTTCAAGGTGTACCTTCCCCTTTATGAACCTATTGGACAGTTAGGATCAAGTTCGGAGGGTCTGCTAGGTGTGTTTCCACTTTTGGAAGCAAGGTGGTTCCAGGAACAAATCCTTTTCTGTCATTGTGCTGTGAAACTCCCTCCCCACAGAAACCTACCTGGCATTGAACATGTTGACTTTGGGGGTCAAATGAAAGTGTGTTTATTTTTCCACAAATAAGGCCAAAAGAATCCCAGGCCTTGTACAATTAGTCTTTAAATCCCAGCCATTAATTTTGTAGGGCTTCTTTAATGTTCAAAGTAGCTCTTAGTATTCCTCATGCTGGTTCTGCTGCTGCAGGATTTCTTTTAACAATGCTCAAATTGTCTTTAGTTAGCAGGTATCACCAGAAACTTAGAGATGAATTGGGACGGGACACAAAGTTCATCTCTTCGTATGCCCAGAAGGAGGACATGTTGCTTGAAGAAACTTATTCTGCCAACATTATGGAGTTCATCAATCACAAAAATGAGAAACTTGGTAGTGTGAATGGCCTGGAAGACCTACTTGATGATAACATTGGTTTAATTAATGGAGATGGTGAGACAGTCTATGTCTTTGGTGATGCAGGGATTGGAAAATCAATGTTGCTGCAAAAGATGCAGAATCTGTGGGCTAAGGGTGAATTCAATGTAGGAGCCAAATTTTTCTTCCGCTTCCGATGCCGGATGTTTAGCTGTTTTAAACAGGATGAAGCTATATGTTTGAAAGACCTCCTCTTCAAGTACAATTGTTTCCCAGACCAGGACCCAGAGGAGGTTTTTTACTTCATTCTGAAGTTCCCTCACACAGTCCTGTTTACATTTGATGGCTTTGATGAGATTAATTCTGACTTTGATCTCAGCAGTGTGCCTGAGAATTGCTCACCCAATGAATCTATCCATGCTCTTGTTCTCCTGGTGGGTCTCCTTAGCGGGAAACTTCTGAAAGGATCTAAGAAAATCCTGACAGCAAGGACTGGTACAGAAATCCATAAAAACATTGTTAGGAAGAAGGTTTATCTCCGAGGGTTTTCCAGCAGTAACCTGAAAGAATATACCAAAATGTTCTTCAGAGATGAAGGGTGTCGGACTTTGGTTTTGAACCAGCTGGAAGCCAACCCGAATATGAGCAGTTTATGTACTGTGCCTTTATTTTGCTGGATTATCTTCAAATGTTATGATCATTTCTACTCTGCGTTTGACAGCCATGAGCTCCCTGACTGCAACGTTACCTTAACAGATATTTTCTTGCTCATGACTGAAGTCCACTTGAACCGAACTCAGAAGACCAACTTGCTGAAGAAGAATAACAGAAGTCAAGTGGAGACATTTAGGTCCAAAAAAGAAACATTGTTCGCACTGAGTAAAATAGCACACACGGGGATGGAGAAGTCTCTCTTTGTTTTTGACCAAGACGAGATCACCACCAGCCTCTGTGAGCAGGATTTGCACTTGGGGTTCCTCAGAGCCGTTCCTACCTATGGAGACTGTGGAGACCAATCTTCCTATGAATTCTTGCACCTGACTTTGCAGTCCTTTTTCACAGCTCTGTTCCTAGTTACTGACGAGAAAGTGGGTGGAAAGGAGCTACTGAAGTTTTTTGCCGAATGCGCCACACCAGACACTGCCCTGCGAACTTGCTTTCCAATCCGCTGGTTGAATAATTACCGACCAACCGGAGCAGATCCCTTCCGGAATAACGAGCACTTTCATTTTACCAACCTCTTCCTTTGTGGCCTGCTTTCCAAGGCCAGGCAGAAGCTCTTGGGGCATTTGGTTTCACCGGCATCGATTAAGAAGAAGAGGAAGGTGCTCCTTGCCTATTTCTTTGAGAGCATGAAGTCCCACCTAAGGAGCCTCACCCGAGCAAGACTAAAGCAATACAAACAGGTTCAAGTTATGCCCAATTTTATTTGGATGCTGAGGTGCATCTATGAGACGCAGAGTGAGAAAGTGGGGAGGGTGGTTGCCAAGGGCATGCGCGCAAACTATGTCAAGCTGACCTACTGCAATGCCTATTCTGCCGACTGCAGCGCCATTTCCTTTGTCATGCATCATTTCCAGAAGCGCCTGGCTCTTGACCTGGACAACAACAATATCAATGATTATGGTATAAAGCAACTTTTGCCTTGCTTCAGCAGGCTGGCAGTGCTCAGGTGAGTTCTTATTTATTTATTTATTTATTTATTCAGTTTATACCCTGCCCTCCCCACTGAAGCAGGCACAGGGCGGCTTACACAGAAGATTAAAACACATGAATAACAATTGTAAAACAGTCATAAAACAATCATAAAAGAATCCAGCTATCGTAGAGTGCTGGTAACAGTAGCATTTGACAAAGTTTCTCATGATATCCTTGAGGATAAGCTGGTTAAGTGTGGGCTGGATGGTGCAACCGTTGGATGGATTCATGGTTGGTTGAAAAATCATACCCAACGAGTGCTCGTAAATGGCTCTGCGTCTACATGGAGGGAAGTCTCGAGTGGAGTGCCGCGGGGCTCGGTCCTGGGCCTGGTGTTGTTCAGTGTTTTTATAAATGACCTGGAGGAAGACATATAGGGTTATGCTTATCATATCTGCAGATGACACGAAGCTGGGAGGGATTGCTAATTCTGAAGAAGACAGAGTCAGGATTCAAAATGATCTAGATAGGCTGGAACAGTGGGCTGAGACAAATAAAATGAATTTCAGTAGAGATAAGTGCAAAGTCCTACACTTAGGTACAAAAAATCAAAGGCACAGATATAGAATGGGAGGGACTTGGCTTGACAGCAGCTAATGTGAAAGGGATCTAGGTGTTCTGGTTGATCACAAGTGAAACATGAGCCTGCAGTGCGATGTGACTGCAAAGAAAGCTAATGCAATCTTAGGATGCATTAACAGAAGCATTGTGTCCAGATCACGGGAGGTGGTAGTTCCGCTCTATTCTGCTATGGTCAGGCCTCACCTGGAGTACTGTGTCCAGTTTTGGGCACCACATTTTAGGAAGGATGTTGACAAGCTCGAGCATGTCCAGAAGAGGGCAACCAGGATGGTGAGAGGGTTGGAATCCAAGTCTTACGGGGAAAGGCTGAAAGAGTTGGGTATGTTTAGCCTGGGAAAGAGAAGGCTTAGAGGGGACATGATTGCAGTCTTCAAGTATTTGAAGGGCTGTCATGTAGAAGATGGAGCAGATCCATTCTCTCTTGCTCCGGATTGCAAGACTAGATCTAATGGGTGGAAATTACAAGGGAGTCGTTACTGGCTAAATATCAGGAGAAACTTCCTAACTGTAAGAGTGGTTGAGCAGTGGAACAGTCTGCCTCGGGAGGTGGTGGATGCTCCTTCGCTGGACATTTTCAAGCAGAGGCTGGACGATCATCTTTCAGGTTTGTTGTAGAGCTATCTTTCAGCTGTGCTCCTGCAGAGTGCAGGGGGTTGGACTAGATGACCTGCAAGGTCCCTTCCAACTCTAACATTCTATGATTCTAGTACTAATAACATGGCTTAAAGATGGCGGTAACAGTCCTGATGGTATGTTCAGGTGATCTAACTTGATGGCTCATCTTGGTCTATTTATTTGTGCAGCGGGCACAGGCTGTTGATGATAAAACCAAGGCACAGAGCTCTGTCACTTTTCAGTTGTTTGATGCAGCTCCTTGACTGAAGGCCTGGTGGAAGAGCTCGGGCTAGTTACATACTTCTCAGATGGTGGTGGTTGGAAGTGCCATCAAGTGACATCTGACTTATGGCAAACCCCATAGGGTTTTCATGTCATTGCCCTGGTATTCCTTGGCGGTCTCCCATCCAAATACTAACCGGGATCGACACTGCTTAGCTTCCGAGAGCTGACAAGATGCAGCTCACTAATTAATCATACTTGTTCTGTTGTAAGCCACCCTGAGCCCTGCTTGCAGGGAAGGGCAGCCTAATAAATCTAATAAATAGATCTGCATGCTCTGATCCCTGGTAGCACTACTGACACCCAGTCTTTGGAAGCTTCGCACACTTAAGGTTTATTTTCCCCACAGTCCTAAAAGCTTGTAGAAACTTGCTGTTTGTTAATCAAAGTTTAATATTCCCAGGATGCCACTCAATTCTGAACTCCATTAACAGGCTTTTCACTTGTGTGATTGCTGCCCAGAATCTCAGAATACATGTGGCCCTGCTTATTCATCAAATACCTAAGGCTAGGCCCACGTGGGATTCTTTTTCTGGGGTACATTCAGAATAATCTTTGGGAAGATGAAGATGTCGGCCTGCTTATAGATTTTTAACTTTCTGAATTATATGTAGTTTTACACAATGCCCACATTACCTTTTTGTGTGCTTTATATACAGAAAACTCTCTCTCTGCAATGTCTTCCAAACTTGGAATTATGGTGTTGGAAAGAAAACGTGTGTGGTTGTTACATGATTTTGTGTGTCTCTTCAATGCATATCACTGAGCCATCCATTATTCTTCTCTCCCCCCCCCCCCCCCCCCGCCATTTATCTGTTTTAATTTAGGGTAAGCGTTAACCAGATCACAGATCAAGGAATAAGAGTGCTTTATGATGAACTGTCGAAGTACAAAATTGTGACTTATTTGGGGTACGTATGAATGATGCAGATTAAGAATGAATTCTGTTGACTGCAAGGAGGGTTGTGAATAGAGCAGAGAGAAGCATTTTAAAGCTGTATTGGGATAACTTCAGCAAGCATCCACTCAACCTGCATGCAGCGTACAACCATAGAATTAACTTGTACTTGACATAGGGTGAATCAGTCCTCATGTTCTCACATCAAAGTCTGTGTGAATCCACTCAGCCTACTTGTTTAAGGTGCCAGTTCAGTTAGCTATAAGGATGCCAGCCTCCAGGTGGGACCGGAGGATCCCCTGGAATTACAGCTCAGCTCATCAGTCCCCCTGGAGAAAATGGCTGCTTTGAAGGCATTGTATACCACTGCCTCCGTACCCAAATCTCCAGGAGTTTCCCAGCTTCGAGCTGTCAGGAAGCAATTTTCTACAGGCCAGTTTGGCCAGGGATCCTGGAGGGTTTTGTGGGTTTTTTTGCAATCTTCTGGGCATGGAGGAGGGGGTCACTGGGGGTGTGTGGGGAGGAGGTAGTTGCGGATTTCCTGCATTGGGCAAGGGGTTGGACTAGATGATCCTGGAGGTCCCTTCCTACTCTGTGATTCTGAGAACCTTACTCCCCCCATCCCCCACCAGTGACCAGGGGAGACCTGGACACCCTAGTTAGTTATATGAGTCAACTCTTTTTTCCTTAAAGATTCAGTAGGTGAATTCAGTAGGTGAATTGACACTAAAGCTTAAGGGTGAAGCCAGGCATTTACGTGTCTGACCCAAATGTAAGGTTGGTGGGATAGCCATTTCTTTTATGGGAAGCAGAGCATGCAGGTAAGGGCAGCTGCAGCCTCTCTCCCACTTTGCCTTTACCTGTTTTGTGATGCTTTAAACACTTTCCTTCCAAGCCCAACTCACTTTCAGTACGAAAACAGGGCTGGGGGACAAGTGGTTCAAGAAACAGAGTTCAGTGAGTTCGGGCAGGTAAGGGGGGGTGGAGGCCTTTAGCTCTCCTGTGTGTGTATCTTCATGTAAAATCAACATGACTGCCCATTACTTCTTGCTCTCTGTGTGAACGGGACCGACATGTGAATAAAGACATGTGGCTGCCCTATCACATGCCCTTCGTACGTATAGACAGAAAAGATGCCCCACATTGGACTTTTAAAAAAAGAAAGATCATAACTGTTTCCAAGTTTCTGGTGTTTTGATTTGCCACTTCAAATAACCATAGGTTCACACTTCCTTTAGACCCTTCTTCTCACATATGGACCTGCTCCTAAGATCTTCTGCTGAGGCATTGCTTTGGATGCTCTCATGCGTAGAGGTGAGGGGGCCTCTTCTGTTTAGTGTTTCAAGTGGTAACAAGTATATTAACTGGCTGTACAGTCAGTACAGAGCTTGTGTTTGCAGGAGATGTCTGGGAGGAAAACCCAAGACTAGGTCTTGTAAGATGGCCGCTGGCGTGGTTGTCGTTAGGGCTATGACTGCCAGCTCTGGACTGGGAAATACCTGGAGATTTTGGGGGTGGAGCCTGGGGAGGGCAGGGTTTAGGGAGGGGAGAGATCTCAGCAGGGTATAATACCACAGAATCCACCCTCCAAAGCAGCCATTTTCTCCAGGGGGACTGATCCTGGCCACCTGGAAACCAATTGTAATAGCAGGAGATCTCCAGGTGCCACCTGGAGGGTGGCAACCATAACTAGGGCCTCTAAGTTCAAGTTGTGTATTAGAAGAAGAAGAAGAGATTGGATTTATTCCCCACCCTTCACTCGGCGTCTCAGAGCGGCTTACAAACTCCTTTCCCTTCCCTTCCCCACAACAGACACCTTGTGAGGTAGGTGGGGCTGAGAGAGCTCTTTCCAGAACTGCCCTTTCAAGGACAGCTCTTGTCAGAACTATGGCTTGCCCGAGGTCATCCAGCAGCTGTAAGTGGAGGAGTGGGGAATCAAACCCGGTTCTCTCAGATTAGAGTCCGCGCACTTAACCACTACACCAAACCAATAGGTAAATAAAGCCTGTTGAATTCCTTAAAAAGAGGCTAGGACATATTCTTGGTGGTCTGGAGGATCTTTCTAAGCCCCCGTTATGAGGTTTTGGGGTAGCTTGGCCTGCTGTTAATTTTTATGTGTCAAGGAAAAAAGCTTCCACTGGTATAGGGTTTTTTTGTTTTTGTTTTACTTTCCTCAGCTACTGGATCTGCTTCTTGTTTTTATATTTCAGTTTCTATTATAAACAGAAATATGTAATATTACATATTTTATCTTTGTGTTTCTATTATATTTTGCTGTTGTTGTTGTTGGCTTGGCTTGAGGGCCTAGATTAGCAGGAAAGCAGAACCTAAATGTTTTAAATAAAATATCCAGGTACCATGAGAAGAGAGACAACTTTTTCCAGAAACTAGTCCTTCTTTATTCCCTCAAAGGGTGGATGTCACCAAAGCCGAAGGGATTACTGAGAAATCCGTGTTTGATTACAAAACACTTGATTCACAGCTGACTGTGTGAACTGCTTCCATTGAAAAGCAGTGTGTTTGAGGCAGTACGAAACATCTGTCTCTGATATTCAATCTCTGATTGATTCATACATGAAAGTCATAGGTTGAAGTGACTTCCTTGGGAGTAGGCCCCATTAAATAATATGGGACTTACTTCTGAGAAAGACCTGTGTAGGATTGCTCCTATCACCTGCTGTTGCAGTCACCAGGAGTTGAACTTTTATTTGCTTATTTCATTTGCAATCCCTCTTTCTCATATGAGGCTCAAGGCAGATTACAACAGCTCAAAAGCAATGCAATTGAACAGTATAATACAAACAAAAATGCATTTATGTACATATGTTGTACGTGTATGTGCCAAGAGTGCCAAGGGATTCTTCTTGAGCCTCAGTGGGGCAACAACAGCAACAGGGCAACAACTTTTTTTTTTACTATATTGCTTTTTGATATCACCTCTCCAATGTATACTCCAAGTTGTTTGGTGTGTGATTCCTCATGCTGGTAAGAAAATTGTTCACATAAATAAATCACAGCTTATACCTTTCAAACTATACATGAATGGCATCAAGGAAGCAATTGGGCCCCCTTGCAAGTATTCTGAAGGGAAAGATCACAGTTTATACCCGTAGGCAATGTTCCCTCTAAGCTGTGGAGTCTTGTGAGCAAAAATTCTACTTTGTGAGCTATTGGCATTAAGGTTGTGAGCGAGCGATTTGGCTACTGTGTAAATTAGTTTGCTCTGAAGCCCTCCTTCCTGAGCCAAGACAAAAATGTGTGAGCCGGAGGCTAAAAAACTGTGAGCTAGCTCACACTAGCTCAGCTTAGAGGGAACACTGCCTGTAGGCATCCTTCAAAGGTGACACAATGCTCACGTGTTTTATACTTGGATCTTGGTACTATCGTGAGAAAGGTTTCTCATTTGTAGTGGCTGTTAAAGCTTTTTCATACTATTAAGGCCACCTCAGCAATAATCCTTTAGAGAGGCTTACTTAAAAGAGAGAGGTTCCCCCCCCTTTCTAAAACATTTTCAGTCTTAAAGAGAGCTCCTTATTTTATGATGTTGTTGTTATCATTCCCTCACATGGAATCCTAGATTCAGATCTAGTCGCTCATGGTAATGTGCAGCTAGTAATATTAGTACGTGGGTGGAGATCTAGATGCAATGTAAAGCGCCAACGTAGCGACGTAAAGCCAACAGGTTGCATCCTCACTGAGATGCATTTCTGAATGCACAACCAGTTTGTGTCCAACCCAGCAAGTGATACATGCTTACAAACTGGTTATGTAAGGGAATGTGCTTAGCTTGGTTGGGGGAACTGAGTACTGGAAAAAATTGTGTCGGGCTGCTTAATTCATTTGGGCAGGTAGCATCTGAGAGTATACTCACTAGGTGCTTTTGCAACTGATAAAGTAGACCTGTGCCCCAAAGAACTAACAACCTAAGTACTTAGATTGTCTATACGTGATAAGCCTATGAAGTTTGTTTCTGTTCCAAATGTCAACTGTAAACTTGTATTCACTTATTTATTTCCCCCCCCCCCAAAAAAAGCTTGTATAACAACCAGATCACTGACATTGGAGCCAAATACGTTGCAAGACTCATTGAAGAATGCCCAAGTCTCATATACGTTAAGTAGGTATCTGCATTTTCTCTCATTACTACATGTCTTGGTGCAAGAGAAACTTGGCCAATAGGGAGAAGGATAATTTTTCTTGTACTGACTGAAGCTCATCCGGGGTTAGCTGCATCTTCTGCCACGTTACGTGCCTCTGACTTTGACAGTGGGTCGGGTCCTGCCACCTGCACAAGGGAGGAGCGATTTTTGACCATTTCCCCCTCTTGCAGCAGACCCCCAACTCCTCTGTTGGGCTGTGCCAGAGGAACATCTGTCCTCCAGGCGCAGCACTTCAGAAGGCATCAGAAGGGGAGAGGGAGTAATCATACTCTGCTGGCAGAAAGCCTGCCTTCCATCAGCAGAGATTTTGGGCAGGATCCAAGGCAATGTACGTCTGCTGTCACCATCGGTCTTTATAGAGCAGCTTGTGAATTCCGCTTTGTGTGGAATTCACGCTGGTAACCCATTAACCATGGACACTGTCCCCATAGGTCTGGTTATTTATTATTAATCAAAGCGTCATCGGAGTGGCCTTTTCTCTTGTGAGCCTTTGCTTATAATAATTTATTATCATTGTTGTTGTTGGTTGTTAATAAGCAAAAGGTAGGGACCCGACTTTCTCTGTTTATGAAGAAAGGAAAATCATGCGACACTAGCTTGAAATTAACTTTCTGTTAATGCCCTATTGGTCAGGGATGTTTTCATTCCCCATTGTCTGGAACTTGACATACAGGTCACTCGAAGTCCCCGGGAGAGAACAGAGGGATGGGCACAGTGTTGTGCCCAGACTAAATTTTCCATCGGCAGAATGGAACTTTCCTGCCTCCCCCCCCCCCACTGCAGATCTCCACAAACTGCTGCTCCTGGGGGGACAGGGGATCCTGAGGATTGACAAGGGGTGTGTGTCTGCAGTGAGAAGGGGCAATTGCGGGCAATTGTTAATCTAGTTTGGACCCAGTCCAATGAGTCCAAGACTAGCGCTTCCACTCAAGACCCATTTTGAAGATTCATTGGGGGGAGGACACAGGGAGAGCCGTTTAACACATCTCGTGTCTAGATTGATTCCCCCCCCCCCCAAGTAAAATCTGTGTGTGTCTTTTGTCTCATGTGCATTTGAGCTGAGTGAGATCCATATGAAGGCATCTACTCTAGCACTGTGGTCAGTGTCTGAAATAGCACCGAAATAATGAATTGCTTTGAAAGAAGTATTGACTTGACTTCAGGCTAAAGATGTGCAATTAATACGTTTCTGTGCAGAATAGGAGCCAACAGAATAACCACTGAGGGAGGGAAAAGCCTCGCTTATGCCATCCAGAAGAGTAAAACTATGTATGAAATCGGGTAAGTGAGATCAGTTTTGTCCCTGTTGATTTTTAATAGCTGTATCTTTTTAAATTTATTTGGAAAGAAGCAAGTGTTTATCTTTCTGAATCCTGCTTGTTCACATTGCCTGATTCTCTAGCTGAGTCAAGTTTATTGTCCCATCCCATCATTGGGTTCTTCGTAGCCAACCTGAACTCCCTCCATTGCCTTCAAGTTAGAACATAGGAAGCTGCCTTACTGACGCATACCCTCACTCCATCAAAGATGGTATTGTCTACTCAGACTGGCAGCAGCTTTCTAGGGTCTCATGTGGAGGTCTTGCACATCACATACTACCTGATTCCTTTTTTTTAAACCGGAGATGCCAGGGATTGAACCTGGGATCTTCTGCGTGCAAAACAGATGCGCTACCACAGAGCCACAGCTCATCTTCAGGAGTGATCCCAGATGTGGCCACAGCTCTTACAAGTATCCATTGTGTGCCTTGAACCATGAGGAAAGGCAAGATAATAAATGTTTTAATGAATAAGTAAATAAACTCTTGATAGCGGTGGCCATTGCACAGGGTTTATCATGATAAAGGCAAAGTGTAGATTGTATGCATAGAATGTTATGGTTAGGGTGACTTAACACATGTTGAAGGGGGTGTGGTTTCAAGGGGCATCCCTGCCGTGTGTGTGGTCTGGCTCTGTGTTTGAGATCATAGTCTGCTGCTTGTGGCATCACCATCAAGGCCGTGCAGCGTTCTCAGTTCATAAGAGCTACGATCAGGGGTCATTTCGTAGAAAAAGAGGTGCAGGAGCTCATTAGCATAACTCATTAGCATAACTTATTTGCATGTGCCACACCCCCTGACATCACTGGAAGTGTGTCAGAAGGCAACAGCCACAGCTCAGACTCCACTGGACTGTTTTGGATTCCTAGCTATTGGGAGTCCTCGCAGAGGACGGAGAGCTTGTACCTGAATAAAACTTGGACTTAAAGGTGCCACTGGACTGTTTTGGACGGGGGTGGGGGCTCTGCAGCTTACCTGGCTGGTTCTTGCTCTGACTGAGGGTTGCTGGGAGCAGGGGGTGGGGCTTGCTGCATGTGCCCGCCCCCTGGGTTCTTTACTGCCGGAGCTCCGCTCCTGTGCGCTCCAGCAGGAAATGACCCCTGGCTACGATACAGCTGACTGCTCTCTGTCCATGTGTCCCATTTGTAGCGCTGAAATAAGGGTGTGGCTCCCGGGTTTCCTGGTATGCAAGGTTTAATAGGCACCCTGGCTGTTACGAGCAGGTAGTGTAGTACATTGAGGCAGAAATGTTTTCCAGGTCTCTATTTTGGCCTTTAATGCCAAAGAATCAGTTGTATTGTAAGCGTATCATTTAGACAGCCAGAGCTGCCTCCTGCGTAACATTGGGGGCTTCTTTCAAGCACACATGTATGGAAGTGTGACCTTGGTTTAAATCACTACTCTAGCTTTTCAAGAAACAAATATGTGCACAAGAGCTGAAATTTTCAGAAAATCCAAGAAAAAATCCTGTAGCGGTATGAAACAGTACAATTGGTTTGCCATTTACCGATCTCTTGATTTGCTACTCAAGATCTCCTACTTTTTGAGATAATCGGTGATCTCTGTCTTAACACTATTTATGAAAATGCAGATGTGGAGTAATATCTCTTGCTTTGCCATAAATTGATCCTAAATATTTGCACTGCTATTATTAAGTTATAAACTGTTCCTAATTCTCACCAGATTTATTATACCAATTCAGGTACATCCTTTATTTTCCATTTTATTTTTCAATTTTAGCTGGAATTTCTCCCATCTTGATGACATTTCTATCTTAGATTTAAAACACTCCTCACCCATTCCTGGAATGAAGGATATAGAATTCCTGTTTGAACCTACTCCTTAGTTGGTCTTTGGAAATATTTCCTGGGCAACCAGTTTTGATGGAGCTCACTTCCACATTTGTGTGTTGTCTCACACTCATTTCAATCTGACCTAAGAATGATATCTCCACAGTGTATCTCCATGTGGGAGAAGAGGTGGAGCCAGCATACATTTACATGCCCTGCCTTTTTCTCCTTGACAGAATGTGGGGTAATGAGATTGGGGATGAAGGCGCAAAGGCGTTTGCAGAAGCACTAAAGAATCACCCCACTTTAACAAATGTCAGGTAAGGACTTGTGTCAGCAAAACACTGCTTCCCTTCTGTCTTTCTAAGTGACCGTATTTTTAGAGATATACCTTTTATGTCAGAATCTTAGGTCAGAAGGTTACCACACCATGAAACACAGCAGCAACCCAGATTTGTAACTGGCCCTGGTATAAGAACATGGAGTGGGTCGTGGTCCATAGAGTCCGCTGCTGCCTATGCTGTCAGTACTGGTACATTCTTGGCAAAGACATTTAGTGCCTCATTTAGAGCATCGACCTTTTAAAAGTCAAACATGATTGATGTTTTAAAATGTGGTGCTATGGTGAGAAGACAGCATTGCGGGTCCATACTTGGCTGTAAAAATCTCTAAAAATGAAACTGGCATTAGCAGCCACTGGAAAGGGAGAGAAAAGCTTTTAAGGTACAGATTTCCTTTTTTTATTTTTTTAGCAGTTGTCAATCACGTTTCTTTCATCTCAAAAACAAACCTTGAACATTGCTGGTTTCTTCACTCAAGGAGAACAAGTTGCCATTCTCAGTTTCTTCCACAAGATGGCAGACTTGAATAGATTTCTTCAAGTGAAAATGGACAGGTATATTTAGGAGATGGTAGTGGAAAGTGCCGTCAAGTCACAGAAGACTCACAGCGACCCCTCATAGGGTTTTCAAGTAAGAGACGTTCAGAGGTAGTTTTCCATTGCCTGCCTCTGTGTGGCAACCCTGGGACCTCTCTGTGGTCTCCCAGCCCTGCTTGACTTCCAAGATCTGATGAGACTGGGCCATCCAGGTTAAAGGTAAAAGGTAAAGGTTTCCCTTGCTCGAAAGCCAGTCAAATCCGACTCTAAGATTGCGGTGCTCAACTCCATTTCCAAGCCGAAGAGTTGTTTGAAAACATTGGTCCAGTGACCAAAAAGCCTCCAGGACCCCAGTAAGGGTCAGTCACCAGAGGTCGCCATGACTTCCAGGTGCACACAAATGCACGCGCACACACGCTCACATGTTATTTGCCAGTTTGGTGTAGTGGTTAAGTGTGCGGACTCTAATCTGGGAGAACCGGGTTTGATTCCCCACTCCTCCACTTGCACCTGCTGTTGTGACCTTGGGTCAGTCACAAGATCTGGCACAGCTGGCCTTGAAAAAGAGCAGTTTGTGTCAGAGTTCTCTCAGCCCCACCCACCTCACAGGGTGTCTGTTGTGGGGAGGGGAAGGGAAAGGAGTTTGTAAGCCGCTCTGAGACACCTTTGTGTAGTGAAGGGCGGGGTATAAATCCAATCTCCTCCTCCTCCTCCTCCTCTTCTTCCTCTTCCTCTTCTTCCTCTTCCTCCTCTTCCTCCTCCTCTTCCTCCTCTTCCTCCTCCTCCTCCTCTTCCTCCTCCTCTTCCTCCTCCTCTTCCTCCTCCTCCTCTTCTTCCTCTTCTTCCTCTTCCTGCTGCTGCTGCTGCTGCTGACCTGGGTGGCCCAGGCAAGCCTGCTCTCATGAGATCTCAGAAGCTAAACAGGGCTGACCCTGGCAAGTACTTGGATGGAAGACCTCCAAGGAACACCAGGGCCGGGGCGCAGAGGCAGGCAGTAGTAAGCCACCTCTCTGAAACATCCAAGCCCCACTAGGGCTTGCTGGAAGTCAGCTAGGACTTCCAGGGGCGCGTGCACACACACAAATACTAACCCAATTTAAAAAAAAGACGTTAGTGTGTGTGAAAGCGCCTAAGTTTCAGTATTGCTTCGTGTCCAGCACGATTCACCCCCGTTACAAGGCAGGTCATTGCATTCTGGAATGCTTGTGTCCGCCCAGCCTCCCCTTGGGCATCTGGAGATCTATTTACACTACATTCCCCATCAGTGTCTTTCTGTTATCCCCAAAAGAACTTACTGTGTTCATTATTTGTTTGCAAAATATTGAGGTATTTTCAGGCATTTCAAAGGGGTGTACAAAGATAACACCAGTATCTAACTAAATAACAGAAAAAGAAACATGACAGCTAGCATGACAACGCAGGAACAAAAGGGTTGCAACTAGCAGACGGTGGTAGTTTCCACAGAGGTGTGTGTGTGCTTATTTGGTTTCTCCGTGGCCCCTGCGGCTGGAGATGAAGCACAGCAGCAACAGGGCTTCCATGTGGCAGGTTTCCCTGCCCCAGTCCACCAGCAGTGGCCACTCCCCCCCCCCCCAGAATATCATTATATTGAGGTAAAGGTAAAGGTTCCCTTGCTCGAAAGCCAGTCGAATCCGACTCTAGGGTTGTGCTCATCTCCGTTTCAAAGCCGAAGAGCCAGCGCTGTCCGAAGACATTTTCCGTGGTCATGTGGCCGGCATGACTAAACACCAAGGCGCATGGAACGCTGTTACCTTCCCACCGAAGTGGTACCTATTTATCTACTTGCAATGTCTTGCTTTCGAACTGCTAGGTTGGCAGGAGCTGGAACTAGAGATGGGAGCTCACTCCATCATGCGGCACCCGGGTCTCGAACTGCTGAACTACTGACCTTCCAGAGCCTGCAGTTCAGCGTCTTAACCACTTGAGCCACCGCAGCTCCTACTATATTGATGTAGGATTGTAATAATTGGTTCGGTGAATCCCCAGCCTTTTTGTAAGTAAGTTTGTAACCCCTTCCTTTATGAAAATATGCCTTTCCTCTTATATTTTAGCAAGGAAAGGAGTCAGAGACTTACTCTGGAAAAACCTGAAAGCAGAAAATTCAGAGAACCTATTACACCTGTTGTCACAATGGTACACTGAGCCCGCACGCGGGGAGGGCGGGGTATAAATAAAATAAAATAAATAAATAAATATCCTAGTGCTATTTTTTTTTTTAAAAAAAAGTAAAAAGCCAGGTCGGGGTGGGGGGATTGCTGCTGCAGGGACAAGACTGGGGAAATGGGCTGCTAAATATGCATTTCCCCACCCACACACCAGCCATCCAGTCTTCACTACGATCTTTCCCAAAACTTCAGAGCAAAGCACGTTTGAGAAAGATCGAATAAAAGCCAGGGAAACCCACAGAGGTGCAAGAATGTACCATGATGGTGGGGGACACTTCCCAACAGCATTGAACCTGGGGCAGATAACCAATGCAGAAATGGCCATTATTTGAAAGGCTATTCTGAAGAGAAAAGAGTTTCGACTTTTCAGAAAAATCAGTGAAAACAGAGCCGAGAAGTGTTCTGGAGCTGTCACTAAGAAGGCCCTGCCATGCCTCTGGCCTCACTGGGAGATAGAATTTAGCCTGCAAGCATCAAGCTGAAAGCATCTTCATGTTTTCAGCTGTGTCACACCTGGGCACAGGAATACAGAAATAGCTTTGCAAACTCAGGCTAGGGTCCATCAGAGGTTGCACAATGGAAAGCTGCCCAAGAAACAGGTAGCTGTGTCCGTGTGTGTGTGTGTCCGTGTATTTGTGAAATAACAGTGCTCTTTCCTCCCAGGTTATGTGGCAAATGTTTGAAGTAGGAGTCTAGTGGCATCCTAAGACTAACAAGATTTTATTTTATTCGTCGATAAGGTTTCAGGGAGTAGAGCCTGTTTCACCTGATCCGGTATACATCGCACCTGAAGAAGGGGGTTGTAGTTCAGAAAAGTTTATGGTAGAAAAAAAATCTTGTTAGCCTTTAAGGGACCATGAGGTTCCAGTTTTACTGCAATGAACTGCCACCTTCCAGTGCCACTGAAAAGGAAGAGATTCAAAAGCAGTTTGAAATCGCTTGGTATTTGGCTCTTAGAAGAAGAAAAAGTCCCATCTCCCCTGTAAATTTAGCATATATTCTGCCCATCTAAGATCAGCTACAAAGGCCTGCTCTGTTAAGGTGGGTGGCTACTATAATCGGCTTTTTCTACCATAACCATTTGCCTCGGTCCAAGCCGGTCCTGAACTTTCTAACCCAGGTATGGCTATTCTTTTCAATTCAGGTCTTTTATTGAACACCACCTACTTATGAGTTTTGCCCATTCTGTCACATTTATTTATTTTTACTTATTTAATTTATACCCCACCCCCTCTCCAACAGGGGACGTGGGGTGGCTTACAACATTTAAAAGTACGGTAAACACAGATACAAAGTACATGTGATAAGTAAAGGACAGTAAACCCAATGAAAACATCAACGGTGAACAACAAACTGTTCTTTTTTTTCTTTCTTTTTTTAATCCCCTGAAGGCAGGGTAGCTTTATTAATTTTTGTTACACCTACATAACTACAAAGAGAAAAAAAAAGAAGAAAAGCGGGGAAAAAAAGTGGTGGGGGGGGAGGGGAAAAAATAACAAACTAAAATAACAAACCCCAGGATGCAGACAGTATAAAAGAAAAAGACCCCACACTATAACTAAAAACCCAAGAAAGGAAGGTCATTAACAGTTAGCACATAGTTAGTTATAAAAAAATTAAAGCTTTTGTTTAAGTCAATGAGTTAAGGAGATTAGTGAGTCCATTTTAGTAAATATCTATTTTCTTCTCAGTGTGCATAAAGACTTCATCCAGTTCGTCTATAGTCTTTTAAGTCATAAGTGTTACTTGGCAACTCTCAGTCGCAGATCATATGCTTCTCTGGCCGTGCCTCCTTCTGCTCCCAATAGTTCTCCGTCCATCTCATCTGGGCTGGCTACTTGGCCTCCGTCCTCTTGCTGCTCTTCCTCTTTTGCTCCAAAAAACTGCTTCAACCAATTTTCCGCTTTGGACACCGAGTCAATTTTCTCCCTTTTGTCTCTGTATTTAAACTGCACCCCCTCTGGAAAAAGCCAGGCATATTGAATCTGGTTGATTTGAAGCGTTGAAATAAGCTCTTTATATGCTTTCCTTTTCTGTCTGACCTTCAGCTGCCACATCCTTCACAATTTCTCCTGGCGTTTCATTCACCCCTTTGAATCTAAGAGTTTTGTTCGATTTTTCCATTTGTAGGTTCAATAGCTTCCTTTCGTGCAGATCCTGCTTTTGTTCCATCAAACCAACTTTTTTCTTCAACTTTTTAGTGTCGTGGGCTGTTTCTTTAAGCTTTTCATCCGTTTGAATCGATTTCTTCAAAAGC